TTGGGGCCTGCGGATGAAGCATCCTTCGATTGACAACTCGGCGCCACCATACCCCGGGAAGGCTGGATCAGAGATAAACCCAAAATAGCACTACTATTGCTGAAACTTCAATAACTATTATCTGGAATTTTCTAAAAAGGAATGACCACACCGCTCGGCAGCCTATATTCCCAACCCAACCCGACCAAGCCCACCATTAGTAATGCAGAAGACATAACAAAACAAAACAGGCTCTTCCACCCCCGCCCATCTACGCCACGCGGTCACTGTTCCTCCCCACCGTGCTCGGGCTGCTCGGCCCATCCTCCTCCTCCGGCCCATCATCCGTCAGGAGCTTCCGCCTCGCGGCGCGCTCTTCGTCCTCGTCGTCACTAACCAGCCCGTCCAGCTCGAACTCGTTGGCGTCGCGCAGGCGCGCGTCCTCGCCGCCGGCACCGCGTGTCGCTTGCCCGTTGGCAGTCTTGGGGACGGGGTTGGCGCGATCGTAGACGTGGATGAGCGTCATGGTGAACAGGAAGAGCAGCGACGCCAGGCTGTACAGGATCATGACGTAGGCGACGTGGTCGATGCCCGAGCCCGCGAGGAGCAGCATCTGCTCTTCCGTGGCGCCCATGAAGAGGAAGCCGGCTGCGTAGAGGAGCTGGGGTTTGTGTTAGTGTGTTCTTGTGAGGGTAACAAAAGTTGTGCACTTACGAAGACAGGGATGAACTGGAAGCTGTTGTACTCTCGGCCGCTTTCCGAGACACTAGCCTTATCCCTGAGGATGAATGAAACCTCGATGATGCGGGTGATGCCGGCCGCCATGAGGGTGTAGCCAAACATCTGGTGGGTCATGGCGCTGATCATCAGCTCCTGCGGGTGCGCCGACATGCCCCAGCCGGTGATGAGGATGACGAAGCCAGGGATGAAGTTGCGCTTCGGCGCGCCGTCCCGGTCCCTACTGAGCCACACGCCCACAAGGCCCGCGCTCCACCAGATGATGCCCATGGTCGTGTGCTGCCAGTCGTTCCGGACCCACGCGGTGCCCCAGCGATGCTCGGTAAAGGTGTTGACGCAGCCCCAGGCCGCGATGACGGCGCTGTCAAAGAACTCCTGGCTACGGCCGGTACGGCGGAGCCAGAGCTGGCCGACTAGGAGTAGGATGGTGAGGAGGACGCCGTACGCGATGAAAGCGCCGCCCATGATGAAGTGGGCCAGGCATTGCCCCAGATGGTCGCCCTGGCAAAAGCCCAAGGCCGTGATGCCGCCAAAGATCATTTGTACCCATGCGTAAATCGGAAAGGCCTTCCCGTTGATGCTGTGTGCCAGGCGGAAGAAGGGTCGGATGCGGCCGTGGATCCCCTTCTCGAGGTGCAGTTTCAGGTAGACGCCGAAGACAACCTGGGCCGCCATGAGGAAGAAAAGGGGAGTGGCGGCCTTTGCGTGGACATTGTTGGGTTGGAACTGGCGACCGCGGTGTAGGTGACCAAGGGCGTAGCCGAGTAGTGCGAGCGCCGTGCTGAATATTTGCAGCGGAACGTGCCACCGGCTCTTGATTATCTAGAGACAGGTCGTTAGTCTTGTATGTGCCACTCTTGAGCCGGCGGCCCACTCACCCCTAGAACCATCCCGAGCGGAAAGAGGATGCCAAAGGCAAGCATCTGAACGAAGATGTGTATCCATAATATCGTGTCCTGCACCTTGTCAACCAACTGTCGGCCATTTTCGTTTAACATGATGCCAGCATACCATCGGCTCGAGAGAAATAGCCTCCCCTTCGGGAATTTTGTCCGCATTGTGCCCTCCGTGCCCGAGCGCCAGCGGCAGGAACGTCGCCGCCAAAAGTATCGTCGCAGCCGGTTGTGAGAGGCAAAGCCGGAGTGGTCGCACTGAGGGGTCACTACCCCGACCCGCGTTGAGGTGCATGGCGACGTCGGGTGGACAAACAGCGTACTCGTGGTCTTTCGCGGGGCAAAGTCGCAAGATCGAGCGAGGTTACGGTCGCCTCGTGTGACGGGAACGCAGCACAATTGAATGCCTGCTGTGGAGGTTGGTGAGACCGGTCGTGGGTTGGTTGGGAAGAATCGGAACAGAACGAGCGAATGTTCGCGGAGAGCTGAGATTCGGCCTCGTCGGAATGATGGGATGCATCGACCCTTTGTCGTGAGAGGCCAATATCTCCTGAGCCGACCCGCCCGGTACGTACCGATCCATGCATCATGCGAAAGAGTTCGTTTTCATTGGGCCGTACCTCGCAAAGGTGGGGTCCAAATCTCTCCCTCTTCTCGGCTTTCCACAGGAGGGGCTTGGCCTGGAACTGACAGCCAAAAATGAGTTTATGCTTCGTATTAACGGAGGAACGTATGAGAGGAAGGAATCCGCGAACAACGGAAACAGTTTGACAAGGTTCAATTGAGAGTAATATTTCCTGGGTCCCAACGGTTCGGGCGGCATTGAGTGGCTTGAGCACTCTCTTCATTACATTTGCGATATTTGTGTTCCCTCTCTTTTTTTTTTCTTGCTTCCAGGACTTTATCATTTCACCGATTCAGCCTCCACCCACTGCAAAGAGTTATGCCACCTCATGACGCGACCTTCCCCTCCGCCGCCCGCTGCATATCCTCCTCCCATTCCCTCTTGACCTTTTCCGCAAACGCATCATCACTCAACACCCTCCACCCCACCGCCGCCATGCCCCGCCCGCACTCCAGCGCCCGCTCAAACGACTCCGGCGTCCCAGCAGCAGCCGCAAACCCTTTGGTGTGGTTCGCCTCGCCCTCCTTGGTGTCGATACCAAACACGCCATGAAACCCCGGGCACTCGTAGCACACGTCACCCATATCCGTACTCCCCGCCAGGATATCCGCAGGCTCATCCATGGTCACCGTCCCCTCAGGCATCACCTCGATATACGCCTCGCACAGCGGCTTGCTCGGGCGCACATCGGCGTACGAATTCAGCGGCTCCAGGCGCATCTCACAACCCGTCGCGGTCGCAGCACCCTCAAAGCACTTCTCCAGCCGCGCCCACAGCGCCTCGGCCCCGCGCTTCGTCGCGCTGCGGCAGTAGTACTCGACGGTGCAGTCGGCGGGGGTGACGTTGGGGCGGTCCCCCGCGGCGCGAAAGACACCGTGGACGCGCTCGTAGGGGCGGATCTGCTGGCGCAGCATGCTGATGGCGTTGTAGGACAGGCACACGGCGTCGAGCGCGTTGACGCCGTCCCAGGGGGCGATGGCCGCGTGCGACTCGCGCCCCGTGTAGTGCACGCGCGTCTTGATGTTGGCCAGCATGCGCACAAAGGCCACGCCGCGGGTTGCGCCGGGCAGGTTGTGGCCCGGGCCCGGGTGCACCATCAGGCAGGCGGCCGCGCCGGCGAAGGCGCCGTTGGCGATCATTTTGAGTTTGCCGCCGCCGCCTTCTTCCGCAGGGGTGCCGAGCAGGCGGACGCGGCCGGGCTGGTTGGAGGTTTTGAGCGCGGCGGCTGCGCCGAGGAATGCGGCGAAGGAGGAGGATGCGATCAGGTTGTGTCCGCAGGCGTGGCCGATCCCCGGGAGCGCGTCGTACTCGGCGTTGTAGATGACCAGCCGGCCGCCGGAGCCGTATTCGGCGGAGAATGCCGTCTCGAGGCCGAAGGCGTGCGGGGTGACCTCAAACCCAAGGGCTTGGAGGACGGAGACGAAGGCATCGTGGGCTTTGTATTCCTCGTAGGCCAGTTCGGGGTTGGCGTGGATCTGCTCGTTGATGGACGAGATCTCGGCGTTGCGGCGCTTGATCTCGTCGTTGATGACGCTGGTCAGGTCGGTCATGGTGAAGGTGAGATGTTGGCTTGAACTGCTGGTTTCGTGCAAGATCTTTTGTGAAAATTGAGGCCGGTCTTGGCTTCAGTCTTCACCAATGCTGCAGGTTATTGAAGGTCCTTTTAATCACTTATAAACCCAACCAAGATCACTACCTTGCATTCAGCCGGGTCCTTTATCTCAACCAGGTTGGGTACGGATCCGGACAACATTGGGTACGAATTGAGACAGTGGGTGGATGGGAAGCCGCATGCAGGATGCTTGTCTGAGTCCGGCGCACTACCCCGCCGCGCGCCGGCCACTGACCCCGCCTCCGGCCGAGATCATGACGCTTGGGGTGCAGTAACTTGGCCGCCAACCAATGCTTGGCCATCGCCGTAAAGGGGCTTCCAAACAGTTTCTCAATTGAGTCCAGGCACTAATACTGCTCTATCCGCATGTGTCAACAAGTCAACCGCGACACCAAATTTTGCCATCCACCGTACATACAACTATTCAGCCCACAGGCAGATTCGGCAAGTCACGCCGAATTCCATCGCACAACACTTTGGGTTCAGTCTCCAAACTCAACACCAACAATAAGCAGCACATATCGAATTCCCTTACGGCAAGGAGAGTCAAACTTGGGGTCTCAGGAAATGTAACCCTTCCAGTTACTCGCCTTACTTTACGACATGCCTGTCCTTCTTCAATGTACCTAAGAGCAATGTATTGATCGAAGACAGTCTATTCAGCAGGGCCAGTTTATATCTATCATGTGCGTCTCCTCGGCGCCTGCATGTTTATTAGTCGGCGTTCTTCCGCATAACCCTGGGCTTGATGGCTTGGCTCGTCTCCTGGCTCGGGCTCGGTCGTCGTCTAGGTACCTACGATGGCTTTGCTTACCTAGTTACCTTGCTACCTTACCGATATTTTAAGTTATAGGCCTATAAATGCGAGCGAGGGTTGTAGTTGTGAGGCGGTAGAGGTGCAAATGTTGTGGGTACGAAACGAAGTGTGCTTTCTTCGTTGTCTCAATGTACATTGTGCATCTCTAAAACTCATTAACTATTGAAGCTTTCCTTGAATAAGTCCATCGCGATATACACCTTAGAATATACGATCGTTAATTAAATTCCGATAGTGGAATAGGTATAGGTAGTAGTATAACTAGTAAAGTTGTCGAAAATAATTAACTTTGAGTTAGTTACATCCAGCAGGCACATAGGGAAAACACCTCGCCGTTTGTCCCTCGGCAACACCATATAGGTTAGTAGCTCGCTCATTTAAAGATATCCAGCAATAAGGCCCTATGGCGTAATTGGTAGCGCGTTCGACTCCAGATCGAAAGGTTATCCGTTCAAGTCGGGTTGGGGTCAGATGATTCAATCTTTTTTATTATTATTTTAATACCATTCTTGCAACTCCACTAACTACAAGAAGTAAAGATATTATTCAAGACTCCCTCAAAGGGCAAGAATGGTTTGTTTTAGTGGCTTAACTGTTAAAGGACGCCTATGTTAGAGGTAGCTGAGAGGGCTCGAGATGAGGTGGACACTCTCCTCGGTAGGTGTAGTCCTCCTCTCTCGGTACAGGGAAACCTTCGGTTGTTAGAGCAACAAAAAAGAAAACCATAGGTACCTCCGGAAGCCCAAAGTCTACTTTCTATTTAGGTTTCTTTCCTTACATATTTTCCCCCTTTTTTCATCTATATCCCTTTCCTTTTCTTAAGTTCTTCATCCTTTTTGGACTTCCGCTTTTCTTTCTTTCTTGTTTTGCCCGCGGCCCCGAGGGACCTCACAATACTTTTTAGACACCCACCCACTTCAATTTGTAGGTCTTCTTTCCGCTGTGACGGGCCTTGTCCGAGAAAGAGACGACAGCTCACTCACCGAGTTTACAAATTAAGCCATGGGAGAGCTTGGGGTCATGCAATTCTATTTCTGCCGTATTAACTCTAGCCAACCTTTTTATGAGAGGCATGCCCCTCTCTAACCACCGTAGACTTCGACATGCTATCCTCTGCGCTCCCTCACTCTAACTCAAACGACCGGGATTACGAGCGAGTGCTTCTCCCGGGTCGTCGGGGTGGAGACGTCGGCTCTTGCAGGCTTAGTCTCCCGTTTTCACTCATCACTTGCCGCAGTCGCGGGGGACTTATCGCCACTCGTGGCGGGGGACTCGCGGCTGTCCATTGCCGAAGATGTGCCAAGGCTCGAGGACGATGCGCCTGCTGTTGCCGCGATGGAGGGCGAGAGCTCGGGGGCGGGGGGGCGCTTGGGCCGGAGCCGATCGTCTCCGCCGCCGTGCAGGAGTGGGAGCGGGAACGATGGAGCCTCGGAGCGGATTGTGCCCCCCATGTTCATCGCTCCGTCTCCCGTTTCTTTGCCCTTCCGGGCCTGTCTCGCGCTGGACTTGGAGCCCCGACTGCCCCGGACGGTCTCCTAGTTGTCCGCGTTATCGGGGGCTGAACCCGCGTTAGAGGGTAGTGCTGATGATGTGTGCTCGCTGTCATTCTGCTTGTCGTCCCGCTTGTAGGTTACACACCTGGATTTTGGCCGGGCAGGTCCACCTGGATTGGCCACCGGCGGCGGGGCAGGGGCGGGGAGGGCGGGATACTCGGCGTCATACCGGCGGCGGAGGTCCCGGAACTCCCGCCTACCAATGACGAAAGCCGTCTTGAGTGCTCCGTAGGCTAGGGGGCCGAGGCGGAATAGCGCTATGCCAAAGCCCCAGGTGCACGAGGCCATGCAGAAGGTGACGACGAGGATCGGGACCAGGAGGCAGGAAGCCAGGCCCACCCAGAAAAGGGTCAAGAAGAGGACGCCCGTGATGAGGGTAAAGAAAACGAACAGGCCGAAAGTCAGGAAACAGAGGACCGGGATGGATGCAAAGAATGCTTGGGCGAGGTAGAAGGTCTGTGGCAGTTGAGGTTAGGGCTGCACCTGATTCGCTCATGCGTTGGGGCAGGGGTCTTGCCATGCATGGTATGGATGGACTATGGAGCGGGCCAGAACTTACGAAGCGTAAGGGTTGCTCGGCATAAACGACTTGGGTTCTAATCCACATGTCCCGCCGAACATTTGGAGGGGCGAGACGGTTGACCTGGCGATGTGCGAACTCGAGCACATCGGCCATTTTGTCTAGAAACATGATGACGGTGGGTTTGATGCGATTGCGTGGTACGGTGTTACCGTTTACGGTGTGGCAGTGTTGCTGTCTCTGGGTGCGATAGTATCATTAAAAAGATTTGGGATTCGGGATGCTGCCCTTGATCGAGTTTGTCAAGGTAAGAAGGTACAATGAAACGAAGGGAATGGAGCGGGTTAACACAAGCTGGTCGTTGAAGGGGGGATTTGGGGGCATTGGTGGGCAAGGGGAACGAGCACCCGACATCAGCACCTCGCGGCTGCCGCCAACGCGTTGAGGCAAGCAACAACAGCATTGTTTGGGAAGGGGCCCGTGTGGCTGCAACATGGCTTGGCGCTCTTTACAGGACCCCCAAGCACTTGGAAGTCGCCGAGCCTCAGGTGCTTAGGCAGGAAAGTGGCAGGGGTCGACCACCAAGCCACGCCGGCCTGCAGCTTAGGTACATCCAGGGACCTCGGTACAAACCTCACCGCCCCAGGCCCCAACACCTTCTGGCCATCTTCAATGCCCGAAGAACGGCCTATCTTCGTCTGAAATGGATCTAGGCTATGTTACAACCTCGTGGTGATAAAGGGCTCTCTCATCATCTAGAGATTCCAAAGAGTCACCTTGAACAAGGCAAGCATCCCGTAATGTGGCCAACCCGAAAAGACGATGCAGCCACCTCTTCTCGGCCCTGGAGCAGCGTGATCATCTCACTTTACAGTTCCCTTCGCCTTGCCAGATCCAACACTCTGGAGCTTGGAGGTAGCGTAAACTATATAGGCCTGCAAGAACCCAGGGAAATAGATTCCCTTTTCTGTAGATACTTCAAGTTACTCCGAGTAACACCCAGGATACTAACACCCGCCCCCACCAATCACTTCAAGACCGTTCTCTCCAAGGACCCTGGCATTTACGATACATTCGTGCAGATTCAAGGCATCATCTATACCCCTAGCGATACAACCAGTCCGCTAGCGGCCAGTTTCGCCATGTGTCTTGCGTATGAAACTATCGAATAACTACTCCTGTTCACACCGGAATATCAGCAAAGACAAATGCGACAAAGAATTAACGAGGGAGTCTACGCTAGCAGGCTCCCCCTGTACCGAGCTCCAAAATGCGGTCGGGTATAGTTTCACGAGGGCCTGGATGCGCTGCGATCGATGCCATTATACCTGGTTCGAGGAATGGGGAAATTACTGGGAGGCTACATGGAGGGCCCATTGGAACAACGCGGCACACGATCAGAGAGTGCAATCCCAGGTATGGGCATTCAAGCCAACGTACGATGCACAGATCAAGGCTACCTACGAGCGTTTGTTTAACACTCCTGGCAACGCTGGCTCCCCGGAGTTTTATGGGCAGTATGAAAAGGCGGTAAAAGATTCCTTAGCCGAGGCTTGAAACACGGTGGCCGGAATATTTTGACCCCCGTCTGCGCTCGAGCGGCGGAGCTTCGGGTGTCGTTAACAACAAGCCAACTACTGTCGCTATTCCCGCCGTTGGACCGGTAAGCGATAGGAAGTCGCACAAGAGCAAGCTTACCGAAACAACGGTGAGTTTAGCCGTCGAGTGAGGGGGCAAGGGAGGGGGATAGGTTCGCAGGCGTGGGTGGTTGGTACCACTAACTACCAGACCTTACCCCAGGTAGGTAGGGTATCCCTGGGCTTTTATGGGCGGGATTATTGCTAGTGGGCAGGCTCTTAGGGAAGCAATAAACGTTATTACTCATAAAATGGTCATGGAATGGAGGAATGACGCTGTTTAAGAGTGTCTCGGATGGATGCGAGTGGATATATGGCATGTCGGTAACCAGTCCACCTCGTAATATGACTCTGCTTAGATACCTTTCCCAATGTATATAAGTGTCTAATCACATTGGATCCGCCGTGTTAGAGTGTCTCTCCCATGTTAGACGTTTTGATTGAGGTCATTAGCGTTTCACGCCTATTTATTCTTGGTTGTTGGAATGATCTATGCATCGTGGTACTTGTCATGATCCGTTGTCAATGCCGGAGGCTGTTGTATAGTTAATGATAAACGTTGACTTAGGTAACCTATCTAAGTGGACGATGCATGGATAGGTAATTACCTACTTCGGCACGCTTCGACATCAGTGCAACGCTAGAAAGCTTGTAAAAAAATATTTGAGGTTCACCCTATCATCGATGAATGGTTTGGTTTACATGTGGTTTTTTTCTTTCGTTCGTGTGATGATGTGTACTCAGTAGACCTTTGACAACTGGAAATGTGCGAAGATAAAGGTGTTGGAAACGACACTCAGACGGAAAGATGGAAAGATTGGAGAGAAAAGGATTGATTGATTTCTGACTCTTCCTCTCAGAGTTCTTCAGAGCAACTGGTTTTTATCCTAAATCTTTCCTTTGTCTCCTTGAGTTAACCCGAGTCTTTGTGCTGCCAAAATTCCATGAATCCGTTTCCGGTACCTTGTCCGTTTCCGGATGTCATGACCGTTTCCGGTGCCATGGCTGTTTCCGGTGCCATGACCTTCCAACACAAGTATCAGCAAGAAGGTTTCATGTGGCGAATCCAACAAAAGGTATAAAAGGTAGACCGTCGAGTCCAACTTGTTGTGCAATTATGTTTTATTCGCCGCAGCCAAGTAGGCAGCCATAGCCACCGCTATCTGCTATTAACACTTAGTTAGTATTTCCTCCATAGGGGGTTGAATACCAAGGAGGTGGTCGAACTGGCCTGGCAGGCCCGGTGGGAACAACAGAGAGCTGGTCAACAAAGTACTACTCGACAGAGGGTATTAAACAGGAGGATAGCCGACGAAGACCCCCCAGCCCTCTTGTTTACCGACAAAGCTCTGATGAGACACGAAGGTCTTACAAAGGCGCAGAGCTCCCTCCTTTCCCAGGCCCGTATCGGGGATATAGGCCTCCGGGACTACCTGTTCAGGGTGAAAGTCCCGGAGGTCCGCACCCCCTATTGCGAGTGCGGGAGAGGCAGGGAGACGGTGGAGCACTTGGTGGTTTGGTGCCCCGACCCGCCGTTACAAAGGCCGTGGGACGGCAGAGAGATTCGGTCACATCGGGACCTACAAACCGTATTACGGGGAGTAGGTGCCCGGAGCAGAAGATTTGTTAGGAAGGTCCTTGGCTGGCTGATGGACTCTGGCCGGCTACTGGAGTATAGGCTGGCCAGAAGGCTGGAGCTAGAAACAGTGGATGGGGAGGGCTAGAGGGCCCGGAGGCCGGCAAAGGGCCTCCTTTCTTTTGCAGTATGACGGATTCATAGATTGTTGTCTCAAAGTGGTAGACAGAGGTTTTTATCCGGCCTATACGGTACGGTTTCCTTTGTAAATAGCAGTAGAAGGACCGGCGCGCCCCAGGGCATATCGGTGTAGGAAATAATAATGGTATTTCCTCCATTAGTACCTGCGTATGCCGCACTGGGAGGTCATACAAACCTCAAGATCTATAAGCAGATATTAGATGTACGTTAGAAAACACCTCACAGTGAGCGGGAGGCTAACGGTACGTTGCCGGCTTGAAGCCTCCAATCCGCTCGATCTGCAACCCACTCCTTCCCTTAAGCATAATCAACCATTGTTACCTTCCAAAGCGGTAGTTAAATAGCTTAGAGGAAGGAAGGCACCGCTTCAAAAAGTCAAGCCGTTCGAGCTAGTGGGCTGGAGAGCGGAGGTTTGTTGGCATGAACTGATATCTTCCGGCTTGTAGAGACCTGCTTTGAACAGCTCAGAACCACCATTGAAGACTATTCGATCTGCAAACCGTGATTCACTTATCCAGCATGTGCGAAACAATGAAGACTAAATATTCCTGCGAGCATCACGAGGAAATCGATAATCCATGCGAGAGAGCCAAAGCAGCAGAAAGCAGCAACAAAAGCACACCATGCACGGAACGGTACGGTCCAAACCATTACACACCTAGCGAAATGCTGTGCAATACTTGCCACTCCGCATGGTTTGCCAACAGTTATAGCGAAGGTTGGGAGAAGAAATGGAAGCCCTGGCTCGATGGCTCGAAGTGGAACGCGAACTTGCACAGTCAGATCAAGCTGTTGAAGGAGTCATATAACAACAGGATTGAGGGCGACCTTGCGCGGTGGGAGGCCGAGAACGTTAGTTTCGCAATATACGCCAGCTATTCAGCAACGCTGGACGAGCTTTGGACCGCGGCGCAACCAAAACTCAACATGTTCTGGGATGCGGCCGACCAGAGTCACCCTCCACCCGCTGAAAATACCAGTAGTTGATTGCTCAGGTACTGGTGGTTGTAGATCCGGTTCCCATCGAGCATATTCACGACATACTCTCGCAGGCTGTCCACACAACACACATGTGGGCTACACGACTTCGGACGGCGGGATCGAGAATACGATTTCTGGGATTCAGGCGAGCTGGTATCACCAACTTTGGGGCCTTTCGGCTGGCCGATTACCGAGAGCAGCTCTGGGTGGATTTGAGAGGTTACCTAAGATACAATACAATTCTTAAATGCCAATTTTCCATGGCTTTGAGGCTGCTCTGCGCCCGTGATATGATACATGAAAGCCCTGGGTAAGGAATTTGCGTAAGTTTCAGGGAGCAACCTCCCTCCCGGTTTTAGCACTCTCCTTCAGTGCCTCAATGATCCTAAGCACTTGGGCTGCCTGTGTTGCCGGTACGGGCACATCCTCCTCCTTCCCGCTCTCCACTGCCTTTGCAAACAACTCATAAAACTTGAGGTAAGTATCCGGCTCAACAGTCGGGTAGGCGCGGTCCACAACCACCCCATCCTCCCCGAGGACAGAGAGGCGCCCAAACTCGGCCTCGGTCTCCCTGCCAAACCCGGCATCCGTCGCCTTCCCACCACCCCTGAGCTGTCCCTCCTGCGGATCCAACCCCGTCTTGTGATAGCTCCCCTTGCTCCCCCGAACCCAGAACCTCACCTGCTCGGACTCCACACTCACCACCCCAATCCTCACATACACCACTAGCCCGGTCTCCTCATAGCTCAACATAGCCGGTAACACTATCCGGCTCATCCCCCTCCCCCTCCACCCCCTTCACAAATCTCCCCTCCCTCTTGCCTCACAAACGGGCCATACACCGCGCTCGGCATCCCAAACAACACAAACACCTGATCCAGCAAATGCGTCCCCAAATCAAACACCACCCCCCCACCCTCCACCATACCCATCCCCGCCTTCCACCCCCCGGCCCGCCGGGGAGCTGAATCCTCTATCCGATCAAAAATGCGTCTAGAAACTAGAACCACCCGGCCCAGCACGCCCTCCTCCAGCAGCCTCCGCACGGTCAAAAAATCCGAATCCCACCTTCTATTCTGATACACGCACAGCACCCTGCCCCTCGCGCGCGCCAGCGCCGCCAGCTCGTCGGCCTCGCGCGCGCTCGGCACGAAGGGCTTCTCGACGAGCACGTGCTTGCTGGCGTCGAGGGCCGCGCGCGCGAAGGAGAAGTGCGTGTTGGGCGGCGTGCACAGGATCACGATGTCGAGGGCGGGGTCGGAGAGGAGCGCGTCGAGCGTGGTGACGTGTTTGAGGGTGGGGTGGTCGGCGGGGGCGGAGTTGGTGGGGGTGGGCGTGCGTTGGAGGATGGAGTGCAGGTTGAGGGTGGGGGTGAGCGCTATGAAGGGGATGTGGAAGACTTTGGCGGAGAGGCTGCGCGGGGTGGGTTAGTGGGATTGGGGTTGGGATTGGGTTGTGGGGTGGTTGGTGGGGGAGTAAGAGATGACTTACCCGTAGCCTACGATGCCGACGTTGAACTGCTTCTGGGAGGACATGTTGATGGCGTTGGATGTGTTGGTGGTGTTGGACGGTGTTGCGGGTGATAGGGACTGCTGTGATGTGTGGTGATGATAGAGTTGATGAGGCATATATCATAGGTTCAGCGCATTATTAATGCAATGAAGTGAAGCCACCGACTGAGTCAGGTTCTTTTGTGTCGTTGCGGGGTAATAGTTGAAAGTTCCAGTCTCGTATGGCTGTGGGCCACTTGGACATCGGGCCGACCACACTGGAGTTGCTTGGCATGACGTCTCCTTTGGGAATCATCAAGCGATCATCAAGGGTTGAGTTGAAGGGAGCAATCGTGCTTGGTAATACCTTCGTGTATTCAATGTTAATTCACAGGCAATTGTTTGCTTCTCAAGTTTACGGTACCAAATCTAGGCTTGTGCCCAAACTCAGGGGTTGAAAAGGGGTGGCCTGTTGCCAGGGTTAGGGTTGAGAATGCCCTTTTGTTGACAACCCCCTGAACTTACCCCTGAGTCTGGAAACAAAACAGCGTCGAAAGCAACCTTCGCTGCTTGGGAGCCTCGAGTCCAACCTTGTTTGGTCATACTTAAATGTTTGCAAAGGGGAAGCCCAGGTGACTCTGTTGTTGAAATACATGGTGGTACGAAACTATAAAGGCCACATTGACAAACACAACCACCTTGGCTGGCATACAACTGCGTTACTTCAGGTTGTTAACCAGGGTTCCGAGGTTATTTGAATATTTGCCCATTTCAGTATTTTGTTAGGCTTATTATTGTCCAATTCTCTGTTATTCACAATGAACTCTGCAAGTCCTCCACCATCTGCCACACCCGAAGAGTAATCTGTTTTGCTTCGTCGTCACCAGCCAGAGCCAGGGCTCAGCCCTCTTTCATTTTCCACCCAACCCTGTTAACCTTGTGGTTTGATCATGAAGCCAATTTCCACATTTCACTGCTGTTATGGATCTTAATTTGAGGCACAGTGGCTTCCTGCACTGAAACACTCATTTTCACTCAAGAACACAACCCATTCTTGTATCAATGTCCATAGTCCCACTTGTAAATTAAACCCTCCAACATTAGATGGACCATCAGACCTTCAACACCATTGTTGCCTTTTCTCTCCCGGATTTGTGCTAGTTTCAGATTCCGCATGTTGTTAGGTGATAACCCTTGACCATTGTTCCCCAGAAGATTCAGAGTGCCCATGAATTCGTTGACATGTGCAAAATATCACAAGTGCGCATGCTCCTGGCGCCTTTTGTGGCTTTGGATGGCTGGTATCTCAGCATCAAGAGAGGGTTACTTCATAAAGATATTCTCTCCCCTCTCACCTAATTCCTTGTTGGAAACCCCTCCTTGTGTGCTCTCCTTTTCCGCATGATTCCAAACGACATCAGAGTACAAACGACTTTTCGGAATCGAGCCGCGTTATTCGCCGCCTGTTGAGGAGCTGGTCTGTGGTTACCAGGCCGGCCAGCCATTTTCCCACAACAGCCCGCTTTCTGTCCTTGCTTTCACTTCCCTTTCTCTCCTCTTCCCACAAACCAACTTCTTCCCCTTCTACTTTCTCTTTGTGCTCGCTTTCTCTGCAAATCCCTCTTCAAAACTACCATGATTATCAGCGCCATCTGGAACGAAGGTTCGCTCTACTATTAGCTCAAACTTGCCATCAACGACTCCCACTCCAACTTTGTTGGCCGACCGGTCGGCTCTCCCTCTAGGCCCCGGTGGGGTGACATTCGGCTGAAGCTCTGGGCAGCAGTATCGGTATCGCACGTTGTGGCAACAGTAAGTTCTGATTTACTGTTACTCTCACTTTCGCTTCTTGCAGAATTGAATGAGGGGACAGTCTGCTAACGGGATTCCCAGCGGGGGGTATTGTTTTGGGCCACCTTTGGCGTGGTGGTTGTCACCGAAACTGCAGTGAGAGACACTCGAATTTTCCAGTTATGCTGGTGCCAATCTGGGCTGCGCATTGTTGACCTTGAGGTAAGTTCTTCAACTCTGGCATCTCGATTAAGCCCCATGCTAATCTCCTTGCCTTATTCGGGCGCAGAGAGAATGTGCCCGATTCATTTCCCTGTTGGTGGGGTCCGTCAACCTGGTACATGAAGCAGGCAAGTCATTTTTACGACACCCCAATCCTCGGACACCATGATGACCTACACCTCAAACTTTCTGAGCGGCTGAGGCCAGATGACAATCTCTTCCTGAGTCCAAAACCGACGCTTCATCATTTCCTGTACCTCGGTCAGGGACTTCGCTGACTTGATGCTTTACACAGACAAACCTGCCTACTTTCCATTACTTCATGTCCCAGTAAGTTGCCCCCCTCCCTCCCCAACAAAGATCCCGCTGGCGATGATGAGTGTCTTCTCCTTCCGGGTGACCGTGGGGGCATTCCGCCTTGGTCTGGGCCACCGAATCATCTTCGTGCTAAACATACTGACTTCAAAGTATTACTTGCCAACCTTTCTTTTGATCAAGGTCAAGAAATCGACACCTCATGCCATCCTGATGGACTTCGAACCGGACCTCGAACCGGCGAGCAGTTTTACTCTCAACACCGGGTTCGGAAATGCACAATGCCCAGAAACGAGGCAAGTTCAAGCACCCTCTTCCACCAACTTGGGGATGATAATCAATCCTTGTAGTTATCCTTCTCTTGAGAGCACACATGAGAACAACTCCAAATATCTGACCCCACTTAAAATTGCCTTAATAACCCTCAACGTTGAGAGCCATCTTCTGATCTTGTTCTCCTTCAGCGATACAACGGACACAAGCTGGCGCTCTTTTCTGGCCAGCTCTTCCCTGTCAGCCCGTCGTTGGTTCTGCCAGTTGCCTGAGAGAAATGTCCGAGGCATGGTATCAAGTAAGTGTTCCAGCTGAAGCCCTCATCCCTCCCTCTTTGGCAATGATGATTCACATTCTCGTCTTCTTTTCGAGCCTCGAAGGCATGATAATAATCTGCGTGTCTGAGCCATGCTTCCCTCACCCGTCTTCGTGCTTATGGTGCTTGATCCGAGCTGACTCGCCACGAGCCAGGAAAGTTTGCGCCCTCTCAGATTTCAGCGTCGCGGGGAGCATGAAAACCATCGCAGGTTGTTTATCGAGGCGTTCAGTGGGTACCGGTCCTCACCCTGTCCCCACCGGCGCTTTTCAGAGACGAGCACCGTGGTCTGTTCACACCAGGCAAGTCTCACCATGGCAGCAACCCCCTCAGCGATGATGACCAAATCCTTGTCAGTGGTCTGAAACTACAACTGATGACAACTCCATTATCTGAGCTGCTCTCCTTTACCTGCGTTTTTATGCGATTTGCCGTCTTGATCAATTTGGCTAACCTTTCCGGCACTCCAGGCGTTGTTTTGGCCGCAAATTTCCACATGACGTGTCCACCAGTGCGACCATTGCGGCAACCATGACTCTATGGCATGGCAACAACGACAAGTAAAGATACTCAGCAACTATCTCCTAAGGGGCCGCCCAACGCAGCGCAGAATATTTTGGTGGCTGCTCGAAAACCTCAATGCAAGGCAGGTTCCCCGTTCCCAAGACCGAAAGCCCCCGATACCCCCTTTTTGGCACATGATAAGACTTTGCCTTTGCTCTTCGACGCCAAGAATGAAGATTATCTTGTCGGTCTGACTGCCGATCACATCTTGTTCTTTTCCCGTTTTTCTTTCTGCATAGTAGCGGCTGACCCGAGTCATTTTTAGGTATTTATACTCGAGCTGGTGTTCGGCTGGTCCGTCTTCAAATCCGCGATGCCCTCCATGATGTGACATCAGGGGCTCGCAGGCCAAGGCGATAGCCTTTCTTCGGTGAGAGTCGGCAATGCAGCATGTCAACGCCACCACCCTCATAGCGAGCAGTAAGTTGTGATTCCCAACCCCGCGCTTGCATACAGTCTCCATGATGAAAAGAACCCTCTTTCCAATGGCGTAAGAAGCCATATGATGACAGGCAAGGTTATCTAACCGAGGCTTCCTTGCTTTTGCTTTACTTCACGATCCGATTACTTGACGTCGCTGAAATGGGAATTATTCAAGCAGGGGCGTATTTATGGGTATTTCTCGACAAGATGCTTCCAGCGGTGTACAGGATACGAGCAGGCATTCACATCCACCATCCAACGGCTCCGGCCAAGAAAGGAAGCACGCTGCGAATAACGTCCGACAACAACAGTTGCTGCATGGGATGGGAAGAAATTAGCCGCCTTGGAACCCGAGCAAACGGAGATCAGTATTTGCTGTGCAGGCCTTAGTACATGAGGTACTTAGCCGACTGCTCAGGAGAACCATCTGTTCTATTCCGTCATCCAGAACACGAAGGGCAGGCCCGAGATCGACTGGGACGGCGTCGCGGCCGCCTCCGGGCTCAAGAATGCGGAGACCGCCACGGTTGGTAGATCTTCTTTCGGTTTCAGTCCGAGGGATCAAGTCCTTACATCAATCCGAGTCAATCCGACCACTTTCCTAGACCGCCATATGAAAAGTCTTGGGCCATGGGGATTTGTGGCTGAGCCTGGCAGGTTCAATGCTATTTACGCATACCATTCAAGGGGATCAACGCCAGGTTCGGATTCAATCCGACGGCGGCGTCAGCAGCCCAAGTTAGACCAATCATCCGCCCAAAACCACCTCGCAGTCAGGTTCTTCATCTCGGCGCCATCAAACTGGACGCTGTTGGCGAAGTTGCGCATGGGTGATCGGCACGATTTATAGCCCGAGATGTGATCCGTTGCGTGGCTGGACCTTGGCGGCAGAACTTCTCATGCTCATCGATGAGTTGGTTTCGGGGTAACTTGTTTAAATAAATAGACTGATTTACACCAGTGACTCAACTTGTCATTCAACAAACTCATTCCAACTTTGAGGTCTGCATCTGCTTGCCTCGTGAGACAGCATAGTTCAGGTCAACACTCAATACTCTCGCAACACCCAACAGGATGGTGAAGTTCGGCTCTCCCTTGCTGGCCGCACTCACGGTGGCGGCTAGCTTCTATGACACCGCCGTAGCAAAAGCATGTGGCCCATCACCGGCCGTTAAATGCGTAAGTTTTATCTCTCTCATACCGGTGCTGGCTAAGCTTGCTTAACCCTTGGCAGTGCGGAATGCTCAGCGGAGCCGGGTTGGGAGACAAAGTCCTCTTGCCTAACCAAACCGAATACACCACCCGGCTTGGTTCATACTGGTCTGTGAGCGCCGCTTTGAGTCCATGGTGCATGGTGCTCCCATCCACGGCCGAAGATGTCTCCACAATCATCAAGACCCTAGTGTCGAGAAACTGTACGTTCGGCGTCAAAGGAGGCGGTCATGGGTCCTTCGCTCTTTCAAACTCGGTTAAAGACGGGGTCACCATCGACTTCGGTACGTCTTACCATACTCTAATCCCCACAGACAGGACATGACAACTGACCTCAACAGCCAACATGAATGGAACCACATACGACCCACAAACCGAGATTGCCTCCATCCTGCCCGGCGGCCCATGGCAAGAGGTGTACGAAACGCTGGCGCCGCACGGGGTTACAGTTACCGGTGGCCGAGCGGGGTCGGTGGGAGTTGGTGGCTTCTTGACTGGCGGCGGGAATTCGTTCCATGCAGCGTCCCACGGCATGGCCTGCGACACGGTCGTCAACTTCGAGGTTGTCCTCGCAGACGGGTCCATCGTCAACGCCAACGCCGAGCAGCACGCAGATCTCTGGGTGGCACTGAAAGGGGGATCCGGCAACTTGGGCCTCGTGACCCGATTCGACTTGCGCGTCATCAAGTTTCCCGATGCCACAAAGCCGGATATCTGGGGGAAATTCATCGCATTCGATCCCGCAGACGGCGACAGCGTCATCGACGCCATGGTCAACTTCACCGAGAATGCCCACCTCGACCAAAACACCTCCTCCATCATGTTCTTCGGCCACGTCCCCGCAGCCGGAGGCATGGTCCTCCAGCTCGGCCTCGAGAACACCAAGGGCATCGCCGACCCTCCCGCCGCGGCCGGCTACCTCACTGCCGGCAAGATCCTCTCCACCACCTCCTCCATCGTCCCCATGCCCGACCTCGTCCGATCCGAAAACCCAGGCCCAACCAGCCGGCGTTCCGGTAAGGCCCCCGCCCCCCCCCCCAACAAACGGACGCCTTCCCTATTGCATGTCGAGGCTAGAGTTGTCTATACTGTCGAGTGAGACCTGTAGCGAGGAATGCTCGGCATATTAACCACGTGTTTCGCTTGACTATCCTCCCTCCCTCCCTATCATTAGCTGTTATG